CTGCATCATTGCAGCCATATGAAATGGAAAATTACCAAAAAGTAAACCCACCATAATCTTCAAAAGGGATCTAAAACATTTCTGTGAGCAGGCCTTTCTTCATGACCTAGCTACTTTTTACTGGAGTAGAATTTCATCGATTGATGATGTAGAACCAGCACTGGCTTACTTTCATGAGGGTTTTCAAAACATAATAAACACACATGCTCCATACCGTAAATATAGAATAAAGGGACGTAAAAATCCTTGGTTTTCCCCCGAGATAGGAAACCTGCTAAAAGAAAGAGACGCTGCCTGGACTAAGGCCAGAAAATCAAAAAATGAATCTGACTGGCTCATTTTCCGGCAGCTCAGAAATAAATGCACAACCAAAATTAGAAACGCTAAATCGAATTACTACCTGGACGAGTCCACCATAAATCTAAATGATCCAAAAAAGTTCTGGCAAACAGTAAAATCAAACTCTGATAACTGATACAAATCCACCCCCAACTCCACACGTGATAGACAAACCGGTCTCTAATCGCTTATGAGTTTTCCCCTGTATCTCCCACTGAGGTTCTAAATGCTCTAAAAACCCTTGATATCCACAAAGCAGCAGGACCTGACAACATAGAACCACTTTTCCTAAAATTAGTTGGAAATTTAATTGCCGAACCACTTTCAAATATTTTCAGTCTCAGCCTCAACACAAATACAATACCAAAAATCTGGAAATCAGCTTTTGTTCTCCCTCCGCTAAAAGGGGGTGAACAAACTGATGTTAACAACTACAGACCGATTTTTAAATTGTGCATTCTTGCCAAACTGTTTGAAAGACTCATCTGCGATCAGTTAACTGATTTCCTACAGTCAAACAATATTTTATCACAATTTCAGTCAGGATTCAGAAAATAACACAGCACCGTTACCACAGTTCTAAAAGTACTAAACGATCTCATTCTTGCCCTGGACTGCAAACTGTGTTGCACTATTTATAGACCTGTCCAAGGCATTTGAAACAGTTGATCACAGGCTACTAACAAACATCCTGGAACACTCTGGTCTATCAAAACATGCAGTTTCCTGGTTCACCAACTACCTAACTGACAGAACACAGTCTGTTCATGTAGCTGGATCCTCCTCTACCTTCTTAGATGTTGTGAAAGGGGTGCCACAGGGTTCTGTACTGGGTCCCATTCTTTTCTCCCTTTACATCA